TAGCAAAGCTTTCAATGTAGTGCCCCATAACATTCTAATAAGCAAATTAGTAAAAAGTGGCTAGAGAAACTATTAGGTGGATCCAAAATTGGCTACTAAATCAGACACAGAGTACTCATCAATGGCACCTTCTCAAACTGGAGGCAGGTAACTAGTGTGCTGCCACAGGGTCAGTCCTAGGCCCAGTGCTCCTCAGCATCTTTATTAATGAATTAGATAAGAAAGTATGAAGAAAGATAACCAAATTTGCAGACAATACAAAACTGGGTGGAACAGTGAGCACTGCAGAAGACAGAATGAAGATCCAGGGTGATCTTGATATTGGGCTGAAAGCAACAGAATGAGATTCAATAGGGACAAGTAACAAATCCATTGATATGAGGAATACATGGCTCAACAAAACTGAAAAACACCTTAGAGTAATTGTGGGCAGCAGACTAAATATGAGCCAACAATTGTTCTGGCACCAAGATGTCAAAAAAAAAATGCAGAGAAATTCGAAAAGGTCCAGAGAAGGGCAGCAAAAATTATCCAGGCTTTGGAAACACTGCCCTATGAGGAAAAACTGAAAGAACTGGGTATGTTCAGCCTTGAGGAGACTGAGGGGAACATGATAGTACTTATAAGTAGTACAAAGTTTGTCACAAACAGGAAGGTCAAGATCTCTTCTCACTGAAACCAGACTGTGGGTCACACAATAGCAAGAAATCAGGAAAGGTTTCCTCACTGTCAGAGCAATACAACAGTTGGCTAGGGAGGTTGTAGGCTCTCCCACACTAGAAACATTCAAAAAGAAACTGGACAGTCATCTGAGTGGGATGATATAAATTGGCATCCTGGTACAGCAGGGGATTGAATCTGATTGCTTTCTTGGTCCTTTCCAAGTATGCAATTTTATGACTGTGTCACAGGATCCCCATCCCAGGATTAGAAAATGGAATGTTGGAAATTGGCACAGACTAAGTAGTTTAATCTAACCTTCATCTACATAATTAGGATGGTCAAATCTCTGTATTAAACATCTGAGACACCTCTGTTGTCTTAGCTGGGTATTCAGAAACCTCTTGCACCAATAGATCATTTGACTGTGATCCTATCTCCCTCAAGTGACATTCAAAAGTAATTTCAGATTAAAATAACAGTAAGAATTCCAATGTTTAGAAGTAACTGTACTTTTTTAATATAACTAGTTTGAGAATAACTATGGATCATTACAATGCAATCACTAGTCTTGTGAGGATACGAGAACCTGCCTGTATAGCATGAAGATTATAAAACATTTTTCTCCAACTTTGTCCCCTCCAGGTCAGAATGGTCTAGCTAGGGATGATTTCCTCACAAGGGGTACGACGGAAGGCATAGTTCAATGCATACTGAGAATAACAGGTTTTAACTACAGATGCTTCTTTTGATAATCTTATTTTTTAAAGTAACAGCATTTTTTGTATGCAATTATGTGAAATCCCTTTCAACATTCCTATACTTTACTTCTGCTTTTACATTCCTGAACTTTGAACACAAATGCACACAGAGAGATGCATTACCATAAATGTACTATTAAGATAATCGAAAGCTATGACTGGATCTTCCTGCCTTTCTATTTTGGCAAAATGTAGCTGCATGAAAGGAGGGAAATGGATCCATCTTGGAAATGTGGTCCTGGGGAAGCAAGCCCTTTTCCTAGGGAGAATTTCTCCCCTACCCACCAGGGAAACAACAGGCATATAATGGCTGCTATTGTCATCTGGTTTGCACATAACCATTGTGGTCATGTGACAGAAAGCAAGTCTGCTGTGCAATCACCACTTTCACTTTTTTTCCTGATTGCTAAACAGCTCGGGAAGGCCCTAATCCTGACCTGTTGTAACATATAAACCTAACAACCTAGGTTATATAAACAGCCCAGAGTTACAGCAGGACATCCCCGGGTTGTTTCAGAAAGTGGAAGTAGCAGGTTTGTTAAGCCAGGATTGTTTGGTTGTGTGAATCAGGTCTTTAAAAATTGCGTATTTTTTCCTTATTTTTAAACAAAGCTTATGAGTCATTTACATTCTTAATATATGGACACGTATGAATTATTACATTCATTTTTAATACTAAACCTACTGAAGCCATTTCTTTTTTGAAGCGTTTTCCCTAACTCATCACTCAATGGACTGGTTTGCACAACATGCCAGGCTCACCTCATATTGTTTAATCTTCAAGCAGCTGCTTTTCATGCTGTGTTTATGTAGCTGTCATTGGGAATATACAATCCCCATGAGGTTGCAGTTTCTTGTCTGAACCCAGCCACCAAGGGTTTTTGAGGGTTAAACAACCCTTATCTAATCTTACTACAAAGATTTTGGCTAGGTGTGGGGGAACACCATAACTTCATCAGTGACTGCATATTCATAACAGCAGCTGCATACATCCAGCATGCACTGTGGCTCATCATGGGCTCACCCACAGTGAATCCAGTGTATCATGGGAACCAGGTCAGTAAGAAGCAGGTGGGAGCAAAAGTAGATATATTTAATTGTTTGAAAACATGGAACATAGTTGAGAAGAAAGTATATGCACCATTTTAAGATGAGAAATAGATTCATATACAAAGAAATCACCAAGGGCAATTAGATATTTATATGTAACAAATATGATGAAACTTAGCAAGCAACAAGTTTAAAAAATCATTTAGGCTGCAGCTCATATTTTCTTCTTACCTCTCAATTAGATCACATAAGTAATTGAAAGCATGAACAGCTTCTTCTTTGTCTTCATGAAGTGGAAGCCATGATAACCAATGAGGCAGAACTTCTTCAACATTTATACAGTCAGGCTTGAACTTCATGATCTTCCCAACTGCTGAAATGCAATTTTCTGTTGCATTGATATTCTCTTTGGTTTTGGCATCTGTTGATTGAATAACTCTCACCAGTAATGGAAGTGCCTCTGATTATGCATTAGAAAAAAATACCATGAGTTACTATGCTCAAATGTTTCTGCTTAAGAACGTATATGTTAAAGCATGCTAAGAAATGAACAGAGCAGGCAACAAAATGTTGTAATGTGGAGTGTTCCTGTTCTGGCTAATCACACTCCATTCCAGTATGCTTTATTCTACCCCCTCCTGCTTTTCTGTCTGCCCCACCCTCTATACCAATAGTGAGGCAAGCATTTCATTCCCAGTGAGCATGCTTCTTCCCATTTTTGAGGCCAAGATTGGCACTCCTTAACTGTATTAAAGTAATAGATTAAACACCAGACTGCTTCTAGGACAGATGTACTCATAATGATATCCAACTATGATTTTCTATTTTCAGAAAGCCTTTTTCCACACCGACTTTCCTGTCATAAAGAATCTCTGCATATTGCAGAGGCATGTTTTATATGAGTACTCAATTCATGAAAAGTGCTGGCCATAACACAGTTTGAAAATCACACTGGTCTAAAGCTGAGGGAAAAAGGGAACCATGTTTTAGGAATACTATTACCCTCATATTCAGCAGACTCATAATAAAAGTTGTAGGCTAGGATATTCCCCAAGCATACTCATTACTAGAAATAACTACTACCTCTTTGTGCTAAGAGCAGACAAGTCTGAGAGACCTTTGAGATGTCTCTTAATCAAATTCAGATGTAGCTGAATCACATTTAGAGGAACACTGAGCCCACATACCTGTGCAGAAAGGACGATAGTTGTCCCCACCAAATTGTGCCATAACGCCAATACCATATGCAGCTGCTTGCCTGACCTCTGGGCTGTTATCACATATTGACTGTAGCATTGGTCTCAAGAAGTATTCTGCATATTTGAATGAGGATGGACTGCAATGCTCTATGATATCATCAAAAATGCACAAGCCCCACTGCCTGTCTGGCCATGGCCTATGTGGACACTGCAAAGAAAATATTTGAAGCAGTCAAACATACATCCACTTTTCCTTTCATTTTGTTTGAAGTCTGTTCACTGCCATCCCATCTCGTTACATCTAGGTTAGGCTGCATGCCGTCTGCAGTACCATTCCCTCTCTCCTTAACAGTTTTAGAATCCTAGATTATCATGTACAGTTTAACAACACATTTCCTAATTCCATAGCTTGAGGGAATTCAGAGATCTGTACACATATTTGGAAGCCCCAGCAGCAGGGTCCATAACTCATTCTGATTTATGAAAAACAAAATGACAATCTGTTCTTTAAAAGATCTGAAAATATTTTTTACAATAAACATACCAAACCATTTTTATAAATAAAAACCTGTTGACTTTATTCCACCCTACCCTTTGTGCTTGTTGTCCTCCTGCAAAAGATATTCCCTTAAAGCCTATCAGCAGTAAGTGCCATGGGGAAAAGTTGCATAAAATTAGTCAACCAGTTATTGTAGTAATTTCAGATGAATTTTGCTTCCCAAAATCTTTGTATAGGAAAGCTTTCTCCTCCTCTTTCTCCTATTCCTATTACTATAATATGGGGGTGCTTTGTATAATTACAGTCTCAAGAAGTCCAGGATACTTACAATTAAGTTGACAATTTGTGGTAGGAGCTGTTCAAACCATGGTAACACCTTTGCCTTGTAACTGCTGAATATTGAGTGCAAAATATCTGACACTTTTGTCAGAATGTATACATCACTGTCATGCTGGTAAAAAATGCAGTGAGATCAGTACAAATTATTTTTACTATCTTAAAGGCAATAGGCTAAAACTCATTTATGCATTTTTCTGGCAACGAACCTTACAGGTCATCATTCATTTATTATTACATGTATATTTCACCAATCATTTCTCCTATAAGGAACCCAAGGTGGCTTACATGGCCTCCTCCTCTCCATTTTATGCTCATAACAACTTTATGAGGTTGTTATAAAGTATAACCAACTAAAATTAAGACTATCTCTAGCAGTGTAATATTTCTAAAATGAATTTTTCCAAAGTAACAAACACTACAACCTTCCCCAACTTCCAATGAACTCACCCCACAATCCAGAGAATTTTAAAAAAACCATCATCATTTTTAGGTATCTGTAGAACTACCGATTGAGGTATAACAGCACAAGCTGCCACCTCACCCAAAAGCAGTGCCTTTATTGTACCCTTCCACGACAACTCCCTGGGCCACGAAAAACATAGACCCAGCAAGTGCTTTTCAGAAGGGAATGAATACAATTTGATCAAAAGACAAACATGTTGGAGAGAGCTGCAGATATAGACAGACATTTTTCTCTCCATATGAACTCCAGACCTTGTCTCTTGAACAAACACCTACAGTAAGATATAACCAGAAGTAACTACCTGACTAGAAGCTGTTGCATCCTTTGAGGGAGGAGTGTAAACCATTCCCCCGGTACGCTTTTAAAGCAGGATGTAATTTACACTCAGAAAGAAGTTGGTTCCCTCTAATAGGTTTCCAGCATTCATGTCTTAAACCATCTTGATAAAGATCCCAGTAACGCTTTCTGCCACTATTTACTCTGCACTACCCTGCAGTTCTATCCTAAAAGACTCTGTCCTGTACTTGAAATTCTTAACTGTTCTCCTAATGTCAGGTGTATCACCTTTTTCCCTGGAGATTAAAGACAAAAGGACAAGACTAGATCTTGAAATCTTTAAAGTTGAGATCTGGTCAAAGGGCAATTTTATTCTCATGACTGATATGCAAATTAGACTATATTTCCAAAAGATCCAACCATCATAGCCATTACAATCGTACTAAGAAAGATTAGGTTGATTGAATATAGATTAAAGTGGTTCAAAGTATGGTTTAGTTAGAATTTCTAAGCCCAAATTCAGAAGGAAATTTGTGAACCCCAGGAAGGAACAGATTATACTTGCCCTAAAACTTATAGCAACTATGATTACACCAAAGTTCCCCATATCCAGTGACATAATAATATTCATTGTCATAACAGACAATGAACAGATAACTTACTTCATCTTGCAATGACTCTTCAACTTGCTCATCATAATCTTCATCTTGCCTTTTCACTAATTAAAAAGTAAATTATTAATGAATTAGCATAGCTGATTTCACAGTGTTTGGGCTTGCTGCAAGAAGAAAGCTGAAGAAGAGGAGTAGAGTGGAATTATTTGGTAGACCAACCCAACCCAAGAGATGAAGTCACTGTAAAAATGGAAAAGGGAATCTTGGATGAGAAAAGTATTTCTTAAATAAATAGCAAGGTATCCTGCAACAAGTTGTTTAGATGAGAAAGATGAATCTAGCATTTTTTACAATATTGCTGCAGCTACAGAGGTAGCTATCAGGTTGGCCAGAACAACATCTTGTCTGGTAAAATTTCAGGACTTTGTTTGGGCTGGCATATGGTGACAGAGTTTAACAATGGCACAAACTGTGATTAATCCAGTGTGTTATCTGATTTTACTTCAGTACGGTGATTTTAAACACACTGTTGCCTGTCCAAAAACTTTACAACTAGATAGGCTAAACATGCCCATTATTAGTACAATTAAGAAATTGTACCTTGAAACTCATATTTGAATGATATTAAGTAATCTTAATTTACCTTGTCTTAATTCTTGGTTTTTAAAGTGCTCTTCTAGTTTTCCTTTCAGTATTCCTCCAAGCTCTTCAAAATGTTCATTGTTAAGGCATCCGTCTCCCATTACTTCAATACACTAATAAAATGAAGTTTATCATCAACATTACGGACTTTACTCAAACAGCTTCAAGAGTAATTATTTCCAGAACAGTGTGAACTTATCTATAGAAAAAACTATCCACTGAACTATGCAGTTACATGTGCTTAAGTCATGCCTTCCAATTACCTTGGAGGCTTTGTTTCCCACAAGTGCTGGTTGTGCTCTGCCTCTTTCTCTTCATTATCCATGCTCTGCATGGGTTGCCACATTGTCCAAACTCAGCAACAGTGGGACTGGCTTCCAAACCATCTCACAACTCATGACATGCTTCATATAGTTCTGGAGTGAGTAGGAACCCTTGCTCAGTTTAGATAACAGGGCGACATGCAATTAGCATATGGTCATTGCTGCTTCTTTTCCTTCCCTGATCATGTGAACTATTACTACTACTACAGCCTATACAATGCATTTCCAATATTCAGAACTACAAAAAAGGGAGCTTGATCACATGGTATCAGAGTTTTATGACTGCAGTTAAGTGATATTCTTTCTTTAATGGGTTTTTGCAAGGAACCAAACTTACAGCAGCAACAAATGTACTGTACATTTTCATCCAAAACTCAAATGTAAACATGTCCTCTAAATTTTATGAAGAATTTGCTAGCCATTATCAAAAACTAGCTATTTCACTATTGTTAACTTTCTAGTTAAACAGAGCTGTCTCCCAAACAAATCATACTGCAATCCTAGTACATGCTTATCTGGGGGTAAACTGTTAATATTTGCTTATCATATTGCTCCAGTTACTTGTGCCTGCAGGGTAGCGAGTGCAACTGACTCTTGCCTGCACATCAGTTATACTTTCCTAAACAACCCAGAAATACCCCATTCCTCAGTTGTTATTGTTACATCCAAGTCCAGAAAGTCCAGGTTGCTAGGAGTTAAAAAACCTAGAGTTAACCCAACAAATGCCATGGGCTAATTCTGAGCAACTTAATCCCTTAACAACTCAGGCATTCCAGGTTTGGATGCAGAAGTAACTCAGGGAAAGGGCATTCCTGGGTTATTTAAGAAAGCAAAAGTGAGTGAAAAACAGTATTTACTCACTACTACCTACTCATAAATAACCCATAGTTTGTTAACCATGGGTTGATAGTGCAAATAGGTTCTTTGCAGGAGGCACTTTTGTAAAAATGAATTCTTCTTGTGAGCACTGACTCTTTCAAAAACATTATCTATTGCTTAAGGTTATCTGACTGATTAAAAATTGCCAACTGCGGAGATTTGCATAATTGAAAGAGTAAGCTTAACTGTAAATTTGAACAGGCCCATATTTAAGATCTTATGCAGCAAAAAGACATTAGTTCTAGAAGCTCCCCCTCTGCTCCTGAGCAACCACTGTAACTTTCCTGACTCATCAATTTTGTAACTCAACTAACAAATTTGTGTGGCAATCTAACATTTCAACAGAATCCTACAAGCACAACATGGTAAAATCAATCACTATATAAGTCATGAGCTTAATAAGTAACCTAATTTTATTACTATATGTAGTCTATTTCCAAAGGCCAACAGTGCCCTGTCTTTATTAAATTTATATCCCACCTTTTTTCCCTAAGAAGTAGTTAAGGAAGCTTATGTAATTCTCCTCCTCTGTGACTGGTGCAAAGTCACCCAGTGAGCTCCATGGTTGAGTGTGGCCTAGAACCCAGATCTCCTGAGTCCCAGTCCCACACCCTTAACCACTATATTGCACTGGCTCTCACCATTTTTTACAGAAAGAATGTTTGCAGAAACATTCTAAAACAATGGGCATGGTTTGGAACTGGGGCTACCAGTGCAGCACTGCATCACAAGGCTATTTCTTTCTTCGCAAGTGAATGGAACAATTCCTTCAGTCACTTGAACAGATGAGAAAAAGTCCCACCGACAAAAATGGATGGAAGTAAGCTCATCCCCACCTTTGACCTCTGGATCAAAAGGACCCCTTGGGAAGCTTTCCCCACCCAGCTGTTTTTCAATAGGGCAGCTTTTCCTACTCCATTCAAACAATTGGAGACAAAGCTCCTCGGCTGAAATAAGTCTGGGGTGGGGATGACATGCCTACCAAGGACCCTCTGGAACCCAACTTACTCTGCAGCTTTTTTTGGACAGTGCAGCTTCCCCTCCCTTCCATGCAAAGGAATGATTGGGTGAGTGAACCAAGAGAAAAGGTGCAGACATAGATATACAGTGGTACCTTGGCTCACGAGCTCAATCCGTTCCATGACTCTGGTCGTGACCCAAATTGGTCGTGAGCAAAGTTAAATTTCCCCATAAGGTTCAATGTAAATAAGGTTAATCCGTTCTGTAACCATGTTTTAAATCAGAAAAATGTGAAGCAAAGTGACAACAACAAAGGTCGCGGCCATCTCCCCCCACACCCCAAACACAAGTGCGATCATCTCGCCGCCCCCCACTCCACCAGCAGGACTGAGATAGCACCTGTCATCCCTGCACGTGCCTGTCATCCCTGCAGGCGCCCGTTATCCCGGCGTGCTGGGGGGGTGGGGGGGGAGAGACGGGTGCAATTGTGGGCACACTGGGGGAGGGAGAGGGAGAGATGGGCGCAAATGGTGCACTGGGGGTGGGGAGATGGCCTCAATCGCAGTTCCATTCATGCAGGGGAGGTGTGCCTGATCAGAGGCGCGCTCCTGCAGGAAAGACAGGCAGAATCTCAGCCATCTCCCCCATGGCTCTGCTTTGCTGCTCTAGTCTTTCCTGCAGCAGCGCGCCTCTGATCACGGACGCCTTCCCTGCACAAAAGCAAATGCGATCCGTGATCAGAGGCGTGAGGCGGCATGAATGACAAGTGGATTCTTGGCAATCTGCCCCATGGCTCTGCTTTGCTGCACCCGTCTTTCGTGCAGCCGCGTGCCTCTGATTGCGGACGCCTTCCCTGCACGAATGGAACTGCGATCGTGGCCATCTCCCCACCGGGGATGGGGGGGCGGGAAGATGGCTGCAATCTTGGTTGCCACCCAAAGCAGTGTTCACGGCCCAAGTAAAAATTTTTCAGTAATTTTTGTTCGTGACCTGATTTGTTCGTGAGCCAAGAAGTTTGTGAGCTGAGATACCACTGTACCTTCAGAGAAAGGGGAGACATTTCCAGTGATTTTGTGATTGTCTCCCAACACCCTATTTTTCAAAGTTCCAAATGTGTCCACAGGCCCAAAAAGACTGGAGATACCTACAATTTGGAATGAGCAGCAGTAGTTTCAGGCTCATGTTGGCTTTTCTTTTCCTCTACAGGAGGGGAGGAGATGAGAACTAGTGCTTTGAGTCATCAGCATAAACATTTGCTACATTCAGATGCAAACATTATGGTTTGCTACTAACTAAAAGGTAACATCTTTACACACCTCCTCTCATGTAGGGCAGGGAGATATGAGATAAGTGAACTCAGAGGTTTTGGTTGCTTGTTCTTGAACATCTAAGCCACATCTTGGTAGATTGTCTGAATTAAGCCGAAGCTGAACCCCAAGAATTTTAATTAGGAAAATATGAATACTCATTA